TCCCAGACCTAGATAGAGCACAAGACCTTCCACCCTCCGGCCAGTTGGCTATTCTAGCTGTACCTTCTGTCCTTTATGCCAGAAGTTCTCACAGGGGGCAATTTGCCCCCCAAGGTGAATGTCCTCTGAGCCCTCACAACCTTGTCACACCGAACTGTAGCTGATGTCTTCCTACACTCACTGGTCTCTCTTCTTAGAGCACCTCACAGACAGAGCACTGGGCCCGGCCAGGGTCTGTACTGGATGCACGCTTAGTCTGCTCACCCAGATGCCACTGCACTGGGAGTGGCCCTGACAGGACACTGCTGCAAGTTATATTCAGAAGAAAAGCACCCAACTCCCGCCAACTCCAACCAGCGTCCCACCCCACAGCTGCTTTTCCTAGAAAAATGCTTCAGTGGAAGGAAATCACATGATACTGGTGCTGATAGAACATCCCCCACAGGCTCAGATACGCAAAGGTGGGGTCAGGCCAAATCTGCAAACAGGGTGGTGTCACAGCTTATTGGCTTCGGCCTCTCCCCAACAGAATGCTGCCCAGCACAGGAAGGACTTTCACTTCAGTTACAGGTCTTCTAGCCTCCAGGATGTGATGCCAATCCTTGTCTCTCCAGGGAACACATACTGACCTCTCTCTACATGGCAGCTCCCACAGCAACCCCTCAAGTCCTGACTGAAAACACAGCCATGCTGGGGTTCTCATCTCGACATGGGGAGACCCACACATTCTTCTGGCTGCTGCAGCACTTTAAAATTGCTGATGGCCTGCCTGCCCACCTAGAACGCAGGGCAAACCTGCCAGGACAACAAAGTGAGCAGGCAGCCACCATAGCCCCTCAAACCTGTTTTGTCACAGTGTCTAAGTGTACTGCAGCAATCTCCCAAGATGGGACACTTATGACCCCAATCCAATGGATTAGCCTGATTCCAGGGTGATTAATCCTGTTTGGTGGCTCAGGGACCCTGGAGGACAGCCCTCTTATCAGCTGGCTCCCATAGCTGTTTGGACTGACAGCCAACAGGGAGAACTCAGAGCAAAGAGGAGGAATTTTAAGAATCCCTACCTTGGGAAGCTGAAGCCAGGCATAACCAGAGAACAAGAAGCACTGGTTTCAGGAAAGTAGGAAAACTGAGACCCCAAACAGAAACCGGCTCACTCGGGTTGCCCAGTCCTTCGGTGCCAAACCTGGGCTTCCCTCACAAGCTCAGGTCACCCCTCCTTTGCCTGACTTGCAGAGGGGTGCAGCAGACAAGCTAGTGTCATTGCACTGGGATTTGCAAAGTGCTATCATGTATATGAAGTACAGTGAGTGAATTAATCTATTTATGTTCACTTGGGCTAAAATTACAGAGACTAGGTATTCTCTGAGCCTATCAACAGATGGCAGGGAACTAGCCCAGGTGCAGGCTCAGGGGAACTGAGAAAGCCAAACTAAAATAAAACCCTCGCTGTAGATAACAGAAGCAACAGAAATAGAAAGTAGAGGAATCTGGAAACGATGAGCAGGTTCACTTTCCTGGTAAGAGAAATGCCGTCTGCCCACGTGAAGCCCTCCCTGCTTCTCTCCTACTGACGACAAGGCTGTCCAGACCGCCCTCTGGCCCCTGCCCCTCGCCCTCAGCCACCACTGGCCTCTGGCAGTCGGTAGAGCTTCATGGTACGCTGCATGGTCATATTTCTGCTCAGGTGGGAGAACTTCACTTCAATCAACTTCCGTGGGTTTAGGGACCGATGCCAGTACCTGTGGGGACACAAATGTCCTATCCTCACGACTCTGGTCATTAAGAGGACAATGGCAGGGAGATCTCCAGATGGCCAGCAGATGGCGTGAGAGACCCATGTCGCCCTCCTCCCCGGCTTCCCTTAAGTGAATGCAAAGCTGCCATGGCTCCTAGATGTTCTTTCTGCCTGTTTTTCTTTCTCAATTTCAAAACGCCACTCTTTTGCTATCATAGTTGTCTGGGGAGGACAATTCTCACTCTGAGAATCAAGTCAAAGGAAGAGTTATAACCATGCCCTCAGAAGACTGAGGCAGACCTGTTCACCCTCCTCCCTCCTCTTCCTGCATTTTTACCTCCTTCCTTGCATTTATACCTGGTGTTTCTACTTTTATGTATTTATTTATTTATTTTGAGACAGAGTCTTGCTTTGTTGCCCAAACTAGAGTGAGTGCCATGGCGTCAGCCTAGCTCACAGCAACCTCAAACTCCTGGGCTCAAGCAATCTTTCTGCCTCAGCCTCCTGAGTAGCTGGGACTACAGGCATGCGCCACCATGCCCAGCTACTTTTTTCTACATATATTAGTTGGCCAATTAATTTCTTTCTATTTTTAGTAGAGACGGGGTCTCGTTCTTCTCTGGCTGGTTTCGAACTCCTGACCTTGAGCAATCCGCCCGCCTCAGCCTCCCAGAGTGCTAGGATTACAGGCGTGAGCCACCGCGCCCGGCCCTGGTGTTTCTACTTTTAAAGGTCTCCAGGCAGAGATTATTCAATTGTTTCAAACAACTTCCTAAGGCAGAAGCTGTCCTTGCATCAAACAAGGATCAGATGCCTTCTCTTTGGCCCACATAATATTCAAAACAAAACTGAGCCAACCATTTAACACTTTAGGACATTTCTCACAACAAAGTCCAGATTTGGGCTCATCCTTAAAAACAAAAACAAAACCCCCAGCTGACTGACACCCCCATATCCAAATGGCAGTGACCAGAAAATGCTGAGAATGGCTCACCTCTCTGGACAAGGCAGGCACTCTCCAGACCGCCATCCCTACAACCTTCTCCCTTCAACCTCCACGGTCCCCACCCGGCTCCCACCACCCACCTTACCAGACACTAGAGAAGCAAGATGATCAAGAGCATGCACCCATCCTAGGGGCAGAGTTGTGACATAACCTCCTAACTAGAGCAGGGGCACCAGTATTTCCAGGACTTTACAGGAAGAAATTTTTACCTGCAGGTGCCAACAGGCTTTGGTAGTACCACACCGGCAGTGTAAACAGCTTGGAAAATGCCCTCCAGGTGAACCCGCCTGGTTATCTCTCGGATCAGGACTGGAGCCACCCTCTTGGAGCGCAGCTTCTTGTGTACACACAGGAAGTTAATCTCCACCATCTTCTTCTCTCTGAAGAGGGAGGAAAAATCCCGGTGACAAGGCTTTTAACAAAGAAGGTAATGGTAATCCCACTAAGCATGGGAACCCAAACCTGGGAGGATGGTGCCTCCAGCACAGGTACGCATTCTGCTGCCACCTGCACTCAGCACTCAGTACCAGGACTCCCCCCACTCTTCCACCAGCTTTGACCAGCAAGGAGCCTGCCTCACTACAGCACAGACTGCACTTCTAATGGAGAATGGGTGCCAAGCAAACGCCCTTATTTGAAGGCACCACCAGCATGTCCCTGATAAATTCCCAGCAGTGGCCTGGGGAGCCCCCACTTTAGCATGCAAGGAAGCAGCAAAGGGAACCCCACAGAGTAGGCCAAGGCTACCCTAGGGCTTCAAGGGTTCTGATTCCCCCAAGAACACAGGCCATAAGCCCTGAAGACTGTGACAGATGGTTCTGACATTTCCAGGGAGAACGAAGAGCAGAGATTGCAGGCCCCAAGGACTATCTGAATCTGGGTCACTGGCTCTGGCCCATTTCTGATGCTGCTCAAGTACATCCACATGTGACTGGTACAGGAGTTCAAAGACGAGCCTCTGCTGAGTGGGCACACTGGACTCCAGGTGGGCCCCTCCCAGCCCAGGTCACAGACAAGGGAGCCAGCTGCAACTCAAGCGCAGAACAGGTGGTTCCCCTATGATGCATTTCTATTCCCAGCACCCGGTGTCCTCCCTTCCCAAGACGTTCTCTCCATCATGAGAGGTACATGGAGCTTTTTTCTTCTCCCTCCCAGACCAAGCAAGATGGTGGTGATGTGGGGGCTGCAGGTGCTTACGTGTCATAGACGTGGATGTTTGCTGGGATGGCGCTAATAAACCCAACCAGTTTCCGACTTGAAACCACTCGAACCCCGCAGTGCCACTCGGGGAGCCAGCCGGGTGGCCGGAGAGCCCTGGAAAAGAGACAGGGGCTGGAGCTGTGGTGCCACTTGCTGGCTCGCTGGACAGGCTGTTTGGGTTCCACAGCCAAGTCCTAACCTGGCACAACCACCTCCCTGAGAGTTAAAAGCCTAATTCTCTTTAGGACCAAGCCCTCCTGGACACAAACAAATCAACATTGCCAACTCTGGCTACTCAGCCCACTTGGCCTACTTACTCACTCAATACAAGGCTGTCACACTGAGAATTCTACGCCTGATCCAATTTCTGTGTGTTCACTTTGATAGCCTGAACCAGGGGACTGACCTCTCTGGTTCAGTGACCAGTGGGTTCCATGGTTGGGAGCTGACTGTGGTACCTCTGGAGCTCTGGTCTCCTGTCTGCCCTCTGGGTATCACTCCACTCTTCCTGCTTACAAATTATTCCTTTCCCACCCCTCTCAAGTAGTCTCTCTCCATGTCATGCCTCTACCTTCCTGTATATTAAATGTGGCCCAGGCAAGTGGAAGGCTCACCCAGGCCAGGCCATTTCCATACAACTGAGCATGCTCAGGAATGAGAGAGAAATGACTCAATTTTTCTTTTAAATCTTAGTATGTCTCACCCCTCCCATACATTTCCCTTCCTGTGTAAAGTCACCATATAATAGATGATCTTTTCTTCTGTGTACCAAGTCTACAAAGGTCTCCCTCACCCCATCAATCTATCTTAAATAAGGTTTCAGTTCTGACCACCACTGAAAGCAAGTCTCCTTCAGATGCAGAACTCAAAAACGACACACTAATTTGCCATTCAAAAGTTGGCAGGGATGAGAACTCTGGTGCCCTGTGGTGGTTCCACTCTGTGCCTTGCCCTCAAGAACTTTAAGAAAACCCTTAGAACTTACCACAAAAGAAATTCTGGGGAATAATCAAATCGGAACATGTTGTCATCATCTTCCACATAGTTCTCATTCAGGAGGGTATATAGTTCTTTTAGCTGGAGAGAAATAAGGAGCTTACTTAGAGGTGTTCTGCCAGGTGGAGGACCAAGTCCAATACCCTGGGGCTCCAGGCTTTTCAGAAGGACCAAGAAAACTACCAAAACCTGTGCCTAATCTCACAGATCTTTTTCACTCTGCATGGCAGGCACTCTTTTGGAACAAGCACCCTAGTTGTAATAGGAGAGTAAGCCACCAAGGGGTAAAGTGGCAGACCAAGAATGCCATCTAGCTAACCAATAACTCTATCAGTCTGCTCCGCCTGCAGTGGAGGGCCACTGGGCTCTACTGCTGTGATGATGCTCTGGAGAGATGACTCTTGGGACTGGTTGAGGAATTACTCTGAGGAGAGTCACTGCCATTTCCCACCATGTTTGGGTTTTATTCTGTGGCCCAAACAAAGGCCTTTTGGCATTTTTCTGCCTTCCCAGCTATCTCCATCTGCTGGCCCAAGTTTGGCATTAAAAAATTCTGTTCGGGTCAGAAGTGGTGGCTCATGCCTGTAATCCTAGCATTCTGGGAGGCCGAGGTGGGAGGATTGCTCGAGGTCAGGAGTTTGAGACCAGCCTGACCAAGAGTGAGACCCCATCTCTACTAAAAAAAATAGAAAGAAATTATCTGGCCAACTAAAAATATATATAGAAAAAATTAGCCAGGCATAGTGGTACATGCCTATAGTCCCAGCTACTTAGGAGGCTAAGGCAGAAGGATTGTTTGAGCCCAGAAGTTTGAGGTTGCTGTGAGCTAGGCTGATGCCAAGGCACTCATGCCTGGGCAACAGAGCAAGACTCTGTCTCAAAAAAAAAAAAAAAAAAAAATGTGTTTCCATTTTCATCATTTCTTACAGGGGAAACAAATCCCTCAGGTCAAAAGAAGAGGTTCTGGGTGCTGGGGTGGACAGGGAGAAGAAACCCTCATTTAGCAGTCCCAGCTCATCAGTTAGGAGACAGACTAGAAATCAGACAAGGGAATAAATGAATGAACCAAAAATGAAAATGATTAAAAAAATGAGGAGCTACAGAGATTAATTCTTAACCTGCCAGAACAGCCAAGTGCTATTTATGGGGAGCCTTGAGCAGGCCCCAGGAAGCAACAGATGGGGGACTGTTCAGACCCTGCAGCTCAGCTCCCAAGAGTCTTGAGGAGGCCTCGAGTAGACGCTGTCTCAGGATGACTGCAGGGCTTACTATGAAAATGGTATCCAGTTGCACTTGTAACCTGCCAGGGTCCCACTCACCACACCACGGTCCCCCAGGTCCAAGGCATCCCAGGTGAAGCCCTGGGGCAGGGTATAGGGCTCCTGGCGGATGTTGTCTTTGTCAGGTTCCACGGGACCGTGGGTGTTCACCACTTCGCCTGGAAGAAGAGCACAGCCATGAGCCTCACCCTCTGCCTCCTAGGGGAAAGAAAGGGCTCAGCTCAAAAACTGACCAGAGCAAATTCCTCCTGTCCCTAGGAGCCCTCCATCTGAAGAACATTCTGTGCTTGGCAGCTGCAAACCATCTCTCCAGCTACCCTTGGCCCCTAATTGAGGGCCAATTCACAGCAAAACTTCAGAATAATCACTAGCATCCAATGTGGTTCATTTTTTGGAAATCGTTTCAAATCTCCCTTGGGGTACTGAATGACAAACATTTATCTTTACTAATTTGGCTTCTTGCCTCCTAGATGGTGTAAAAGGTGCTGTCGTGGCCCTGGACCAGGCCAACTGATCTGGATGGATTTATAAGGAGTTGCAACAAGGCTGCTTTTGTGTCAACAGCAACAACAATGTCCTGGGCCCATTCCTGAACCAGATGATGGCTTCTAGGCGCCAGACTCAACTGTGGCCCTGCCAGCCTTGGCTGGCAGTGTGGGCCAGCTAACGGCTACTGCCAACGCGGGACTTCAGTGTTTAGAGTCCTGCAAGTGCCTTTAGAGTGAATCTGAGTGCTGCCGGGAAGTCACCTCCGACCCGACAGCCCCACCCTGAAGAGCATACCCCTCCTATGTGGGAATGTGTGGGGAGTGCTCAGAAGATACAGCTCCCAATTCCTACCCAGAGTTAAATCAAATTATACTTATTTGATAAATGTGGACAAATTAACCACTTATTGGCCATTGGAATTATTTAGTTTTTACAATTCAGAGCTCATTTAGGTTTACAGTCTTCAGAAGGGATCTGCTCAGTATAGTGCTCCTAGCATAGGGATTTGCACACATACACTACATACTCAATTCATTCTTTCATTGATTTTCAGACTCCTGACTCAAATATTTCATTCTAATGGGTAACAGGCAGCTCTAGACCTTCCCAGAATGTATCCCTGGGGCAAGTGTAGTGGAAATGGCTACATCGGGCTACAGCTGAGGACTCCACCCCCAAGACCATCTCACTCTTCTCCATTAGACACATTCACTGAACACCAACTGCACGTCATTGACTGTGCCAGGCACTAGGATACAGTAGGGGAAAGTACCAGGTCCCTGTCCTTACAAGATGTAGCATCTTCTGGGGAAACAGTAAATAAATGAGTCATTATCCAAATGCTAAGGCTCAATAGCTGCAATGTGCAGGCAACAATAGACACACATAGCAGGGAAGTACCCAGCTACCTCTACTTATATGACTCCCCAACAAGTTTGCTTAAGAGAGAGGCCACATTTTTCTTCCCTAGTTAAGAAACTGACCTTCTAAATTTATTTATAAAGTAGCCCTTGTGAATTAGTTTAATATAACTCAATCTGCTATGTATATAAAAAGAATTTTTGAGCCAGCAAAGCCAAGGGCCAGACCCTATAGCAGACGTCCTCAAACTGCAGCCCCTGGGCCACATGAGTCCCGCCGAGGACATTTACCCGGCCCACCAGGTGTTTTTGCTGCCACTGCCTGTCCTGCTTAGCAGCCGACTCATCCCAGGACCACAGTGCACATGTGTGGAATGTGCACCGCACTCTCCAACGGCCCTCCAACGGTCTGAGGGACAGTGAACTGGCCCACTGTGGTCTTATCTAGGTGCTAGCCAATTTCCCATCTTATATTGAATTTATACCTTTTCCAAAACATACTTCAGAACCTTTAAATCTTCTGATTTAGGCTGACTGCCAGGTCCTACATGCAAGAGGCATTTCCATTCACTTTCTCCTTTACCAAGTGTTCACTGAGTCCTAGAACGTGCCAGTTCTGTGACAGGAGCTGGTGAATGAAATGGACACAAGTCCTCTCACCATCACAGACATCAAAGAGACAAGCAAGCAGGCACCTGCCACCCAGCATGGCATGGGGCTATCAGAATGAAGTAAGGGCTGCTACAGGACCTGTGTGTGTACGTGTGCATGTACACGTAACGGAAGACTTACCAGAGGAAATATACAAAGACAAGACCTCAAGGGTAATTAGGAATCAGCCAGTGGAGTGTGTGGGGCAGGCAGGGTATGCACGTGGGAGCAGTATGTGTAAAGGAAAGGCCTGGAGATGAAGGGAGGAACTGAAACTGTGAGGAGACAGGAGAGGACAGTAGGGGCCAGTCACAGAAGGCCTTGCAAGCATCGTATTACTGAGGCTGAACTTTATCCTTAGGGCTATGGGATATCCTTCATGGATTTTTAAGGGGCCAGTGGGATATGTGGGAGATATCTTCAGATCTGCATTTTACAAAGAGCACTCAGTATGTGCTTGTCCATTGACTATGAGCAAACTTTTATACAATATTCAAATGGTATGTCTTAATCTATGTTTTGATAAACCAGCTCATAGGCTGTCCTAAGACTCTTTGATATCTGCAAGACATAGCCAACCAATCAGAGTTACAGGAAACACTGAGAAAGCAGCAGCCGCTTTTAGCAGACCCCCACTCTGGAGTGCCAACAAAGCTAAGCAGCCCAAGCCCCTGCACTGCCCTCATCCCAGTGCCGACACCCAGGCTTCTGCCTGTCCTACCCTGTGGGGAGCAGCTGCTATCTACCTTTTATGAAGGCTCTTGAGCACCTCCTGCTGAGTAGGTGTGGGAAGGCTGCTTTGCAGAGCACAGCAAAAGTGCAGCCAATTTTCTCAAGGCCACCAGCAACCAGTAAACTACTGAGGAGGAGAAGGACACTTGGAACTTGCTTTAAAAGAACTTGGAAATTTAAAGAAAACCCTGGACTTTCAATGGGTTTCTTTCTGTATACTCTGCCTCCCAAAATTCTTTCTCTGTCCTCCAAATCAAGGACCCCAAACTAAGCACTGTGGTACAACTGTGAAGGACTTAGGAGTAAAGAGTATGAGATTTGGGAGACAATAAACCAAACAAGGGAAAGGGAAAGGGAGAAGAGAGGAAAAACTTCTCTCATGGACCCACAAAAACCAAGCGAGTCCACATGCTCCCTTTGAGAGTTACTTTTTCTTTTCTTTTTTTTGAGACACAGTCTCACTTTGTTGCCCAGGCGAGAGTGAGTGCCGTGGCATCAGCCTAGCTCACAGCAACCTCAAACTCCTGGGCTCAAGCAATTCTTCTGCCTCAGACTCCCAAGTAGCTGGGACTACAGGCATGCGACACCATGCCCGGCTAAGTTTTTCTATATATATTAGTTGGCCAATTAATTTCTTTCTATTTATTGTAGAGATGGGGGTCTTGCTCTTGCTCAGGCTGGTTTCGAACTCCTGACCTTGAGCAATTCGCCTGCCTCGGCCTCCCAGAGTGCTAGGATTACAGGCGTGAGCCACCGCGCCCGGCCTGAGAGTTACTTTTTAAACCAATCTGAGAGTGGCCAGATCCCAACCCCATAAAGTGAGGCAAAAAAGGATCCTATTCTCCCCAACAAGAGAAGGAAAGGGGGTGAATTTGAAAAGAATGATCCGTAGCACAGTGATGTGTGCCTAGCTACTTGGGAGGCTGAAGCAGGAAGTTTGCTTGAGCCCAGGAGTTCTAGTCCAGCCTAGGTAACATAGCAAGACCCCATTTCTTTAAAAAAAAAAAAAAAATTAATTAATTTTACAAAATAAAAATAAGTCTGAAAAGGGGGATCAAAAGTTCATTTGGGGGCACAGACTAAAACACTTATGCTTAGGAGGCCTTTCAATGGTAAATCTAGGACAATTTTAAACTTCTAAAGAACTGTAGGTCTCTTTAGTGGAATACAATCTAATTAGAACTTCCCAAGAAGGTGGGGAGTGCTGTCAACACAGAACACTTGATACGCAGGAGTTTTACAATCATTAGTCCCCCATTTAAGTGGAAAAAATTAAGACAAGAAGCTGTAGATGACATCATCCTAAGGATACTCAGAAGTAGAACTAGGGTGACACCTCAGCCATGCAGACTGACTTATGCCAGGTAAGGAGGTGCTTTCTGCAGGCTGACTGAGACAAAGGAATCTTTAATTTGGGCTTGATTGACCATGAACCTAAAAGGCAGACTGGTCAGATGCTCAGGGCAACCACTCTTCCAAAGTCCCAGGCCACATGCTGTACAGAAGGCACATCCAGAAGAAATAAAACAGAACCTTGTTATACCTTCCTGACAATGTCAGGGCCACTTTGAATAACTGTGGCTTTCTCAAGAGCTATCTGAGAACCAAACTGGAGCACTTTCTACATTTATAGGTGAGACACAGAGGCAAGCAACAAAGTGCTGCCGGGCTGAAGAGGAAAAAAAAGCCCATTAATCCCAATTCCGGTCTTCTCCAGGCCCTACTATTTATGAAGAATGGGTCAAGGTTACCCATTCTCAAATTCCTAATGAAAAAAATAAAATCAAACCTAAACTCCAAACACCATCTGATGTGCCAAAATGTATGGCAGCCACCACAAAATGCCTCTTTATGGATTTCACTCACAGGCAAAGTGTATGGCCCTCCATATCCTCCCTGCTCCTTACTGGGAGTGGTCACTGGCTCCCTACCCTAGCAGCAGCAATGCTATGACCCGGTGTTTTCTGGAGGGCTTAATCAGTGGGCCTGAGACCTGGAATCAGCACCACTCACATTCACCTGCTTTCCATCCCCCATGGGGACACACCTACTCAGCTTGCTTCTGAGCTGTGAACAACCTGTCCAAGACCTGCATCTGCTCTAGAGCAGAGCTTCTCAAACTTTCAAGTAGACACAAATCTCCTGCAAACTCTGATTCTAAAGGTCTCAGAGCAGCCTGAGATACTGTTCCTCTATAAGCTCTTAAGCAATGCCCATCCTGCTGGTCCATGGACCACACTGAGCAGTGAGGTTCCGCACTATATGCCCCCCACCTTTGCAGCTGAAGCCCCTTGGGCACAGCTGCCTTCCTCCCCTCACTAGTCTTTGGCCCTTCCCTGTCCAACCCTCCTCATCCACACCAAACATACTGGTAAAGTCTCACTGTGATCCTGAAGGGAAGCAGTAACATGGACAACTTGAAGGTCATTTACATTTGGTATTGGAACATGTTTTTATCAACATACTTTCCTAGCCACACAGGAAATAAGAATTTGGCCATCGGTGGATCCAGAATTACGATGCAACCATTCCAGAAACTTTTTGTCAGCCGCAGAAGGTACCATCAAGGTTGGGTGTCACTCAATCTTGGCAGGCTCCTCTAACTCCTTGGAGGTCCAGTTAAGTCTAGTCCCTTCTAGAATCCATCTAGACATCTTGCCTGTTCCACCCCTTTAAGAGTTCACTATAGCTTTTTTCAAGGGGTGCAGACAAATCTTACACATGGTATTCCAGGTGTTGGACCATCGCTATTAAGCAAAATGCAAAATTCCTTCACATTTAGAGACAAAGGGAAGAGGCTGTGGACTCTGCCCATTCCAGGATTAAACATTTGTCCAGACAAACAGGACAGTCCCTCTATAAATCTAAATGGGAAGACAGGCCTCTGGGCAGACATCCCCACTCATTGTGTGCCAACACATGATGGACTAAAAGAATCATTATTTGTTCTCAGTGTGTGCTGCTGTGAAATGATAAGGTCTCTGAACAACAGTCTTTTTTATGCTGCATTTAAAATACTCTCCTCTAAAAATAAACACCAAGGAACTCCAGGACTCTGTACTCCCATGGAGGCACAGCCGAGGCATGTTCCTCATCCACAGCTGGGGGAAGAAAGCACATACATACCCAGTTTGGGGACGGGCTGCGTATCCCAGAACTGG